GGCATAGCAAGACAAAGTGACAAAAGAGAACACAACGATGACAACAAAAAAAGAAAACTAGTGACTCAGAAAAGAATAAATTATTTTAAAAACGAAAAAGAAAAAAATTTTTAAAGGAAAGAAAATCCTGTATATAGATCAAGGTCTGGTTTTTGACCTCTGGGCGTGTCCTTCAGTCAGGTCCGATGGGTGCCACGCTCTGGCCCCAGAGTCTGTCCTTTGCACTCTCTCGGGGAGCTCCCAGCTCTGCTCCCTTCACCCACTCGTTGCTCCGCAGCAGGCTCTTAGTGTTCTGCCTCGGTGTCACAGGGTCAGTCCTGGCCAATCCCAACACTTTGAGTCTCTGGTGTTGTCCCCCATAGGGCCATGGGTCACGTCTGCAATTTTTTTATACTACCAGTGGTCTTAGAAAGTAAAACTAGAAGTGTGATCCCCCCCCCACCCTCGTTTAAAAGGGGATTCTCCAGAAAAGGACTGGAAAACAGCTAGACAAATTCTAAGCGAGCTGTAGCAACAAGCTTGATTGTTCGGGGGTGGGAGGCGGGGGTGGGGGTGGGGTGCCAGGTCTCTGTCTTGAGTTTGAGGGACGGAGGTGGGTCTGCGCTGGAGAGTCGCCTGGGAGGAATGGGTGAAGGCAAATCTCAATGTCTCTCTTTCTCAACGCTCTCAAGTTGAGAAGAAACAACCCATTTTAAAAGCCCAGAACTGCTGTCCTTTTGAAGCAACTGATGAGGCTTAGCGGGTTATGTGTCACATTTCATGCCAGGAGATAATGTTTGCTGAGCGTGGGCATTTTACACCTTGAAACTGAGCCTCGTGCACACAGAGCAACACTGTTGGGTCATTGACGTTGCTATGGTATCGGTGAGTTTGTGATCAGTCACTCCGTGATTAGGTTGACTCACTCAATAAGAGAGCAGCAACTCAAAATCTGTTCCCGGAAAGACATACTGAAAACACTGTAACCTCATACTGGTTAGGATGTTGAAAGAAACGGGGAACTGCTGGCTTCAAGATGCGGAAAACCCAGGTTGTGGTCCAGCCCTGCTGCCCTGGCTTCTTCCCCTTGTTGATGATGCCCTTCAGGGCGGGAACTTCATTCCATCCATCTGGGCCTCCCACGCAGCACCCACATGGAAGGAAGCATGTACATCCTGTCTGTCTATTTACATATTATAGCAGCACATTTGTAATTGATATACGTAGAGGAGGGTGACTTCAGAAAATTTATGGAAAATTCCATTATCTTTTTAATTTCCAGTTTCCACCAACTTTTTGACCCTCCCTTGTACATATGTGTATATATAATATATATCATTTCTATGTTATCATGATATTTATATTGTCATAATTTATAAGTTCATATTGTACTTCATCATTGTAATAATAAAACCAAAGAAACCAAGCCCACTGCCATCAAGTGCTACATCAGGCAAATTTTTATAAATGTTTTTTAGGTCATAGCTATTTTGAAATACTTTTATACAGGTTAAAAATAGCTACTAGTGTGTAGATATGATAAACATTGTGTGGGTAATAAGGTAAACGACATTTGAGGAAACTTCCATCCAGAGTGTCTGTAAGACCCTTTGTTATTTTGCAATGCTTTGTTTCATTTTCTGAATGTATTGATCTCTTAGAAGTACGTTAATCCTTTTTCAATCTGAAAATGTAAACGTTTGCTACACAAAGCCAGGACAATGGAGCTATTACAGAATGGTCTCTCCATTTGAAACACGGCCATAATTGTTCTCTGATGTTCTTATTTTATTAGACTGTGATGACTTAGCGGGGCTCAATGATGACTCTTGGGAAGAAAGGGCAGCATAGTTCATAATGATGTAGTGTTGATCACGGAAGTGCTACTTACAAAGATCAGTGTCCTATTTTTAAAAGAAAGCTGGAGTTGGTGTAATCACTAGTTGTTGTGCGCATACTTTAATTTCTTTTACTCATTCCTCCTAGGTTTCTGGTACAGTTCCGGCAGGACAAAGTCTGTGTCAAGTTTATTCAGGGCAGCCAGAAAAACGGGAGTGTGCCCATGTGCAAACGAAAAAACAACCGGCTCCTTGAAGTTGCCGTCCCTTAACTGGCACCTGCTCTCCGCTCTCACGGACTTGTTTCCTTAACGGTGCAATGGGAGTTCCTTGTATGTTTGGAAAGTGCCAGAGGCTCATACTATTCGAGACCCTTGGCAAAAATTGTAAACAAAAACATTTGACTAATCGGTTTTTATTATTGGAATGGTTTTAATCCTTAAAGTACATGTTCTGTCCAGGGGCAGGATTGTAGAAACTAACAGTGTCTAGGCCAAGCCATATGCGTTTGCTTTTGTTAGTCTTCATGTTAGATCGGTGGACCATACGCCAACATAGTGCTCCTCCATCCTTAATACGTCTAGTTGTAGAAGACAGTCTTAGAGCTAGTACATTCGTTCATTAAATATTTATTGAATGCCTACTCAGTGCTAGGCACTGCGCTAGAAGGTATGAAAACTTATTAGGAATCCTTTTTTTTTTTTTCCAAGTCTTTCAAGCCGTTGCATTTTGGCTGCTTTAAGTTGATTGAACTAGGGCTGAGGGGGCGTGGAAATACGGAGACCAAAACAGTGACGGTTACGGATAACCTTGTTAGGAAAACTACTTCCAGAAAGGCTGTCCTGAGAGGGAATCAGAATCTACGGGTACAGTGCGCCCACTTGCAGTGTGTTTGAAGAAAGAAAGAAACCTGGCATCTGGACATGACCTTGCATTGGCTTTGATCTCTTGTCATTGCCTTCAGTGGTAGAGAAGAGTCACTGTTAACTTAGGAAAAAGCGACAGAAGCAGACAGACAGAAGACGATATTTCCTTGCTTGCAGTTAACATCAGATGTCGTCCTGGATGTGCTGTGATCTGCGGAGTGCTGGGCAGATATTTCATAAGAACTAGGCCAGGACGGGGCTGCAAGTCCTTCCGAAAGTGGCAGGCATTCTGTACGATGTGCAATAGACCATCCAGATCTCTTGTGAAAGTGTTATTTATAATAGACATGCTTTATGAAAGAAGTGATTGGTACAGGGTGCATATTTTAATCAAGGATTAAAAAGAAAGTTGTGTTCATTTGCAGGGCTGTTTTTGTTTGTTTTCCTTTTCAAATTTCCAATAAGGATGATTTTGGACATGATGTTTTGAACTTTGGAATCAAATGGTTTCTTATTTGGGAAGAGAGTGTCTTCACATTATGTTAAATAATAAAATTGTCCTAATTAGGTGCCATTCTTCTGGATCATGACTATTTTTGTATCTCAAGCTATTTTCTCATGTTGTATGAAATGTATTGTCATGTGGAAAGGCTTTCCAAGCCCAACAGTCTGTGTTCTCTGTAACTGAATTTCATTTATCTTTGATAAATCAAAAACCTTTCATTGAAAGTATTTTTCTGGGGAATTTCCTTTAATGTTTGTACTTCCCCCCCAAAAAATGTTCTCATAAAGAAGTTCCTGGAAGCTTTTGTGTTGGCACAGGTAGAGGCTGCAATTCCTGTCTTAACGGTCATTTCCAAATGTGCCCGCAGCAGTAGATTGATGATTCCTGATCCTTTGGTAAGTAGAATTTGGGGCCTAAGACTTTGTTATTTGTTTGTTTAACTGTTTATAATATGTAATACATTCACTTTGTAAAAAGAAAAGAAAAGGTGTCTAATAAAAATGCTCCATCTCATCAGCCATCCAACGTTCTTACGCTCTGAAGTTCACTACTGCTCCGATATTCATGCATCTGCTGACAGGAGAGTAAAGGTATAGACTGCTATCTTCTACCCTCCTAGAAGACAAAGCTCCTGCCTGCAGGACACACGGTGTTCCTTTTGTTTAGCAGAAGATCACGGGGCGCTCTTTCTGCAGCGGGGGTGAGCCGTGATGCGTGCACCAGCTCCGTGCTGATGACAATTGCTTTATTTTCTGAACAGAAGTTTAGGCTGGCGATGGAGAGGGCCAGTCTTCTAGAGGTCTGCTTGTTCCACTTTCCCAGGTAGCTGAGGTGCAGACAATAGCAGTCAGCAGCAATGTGGTCCTCAACATGTATTACCAGTAGAGAAATTGTTTCATCACAAACATCAGGGTCAGTCTCCTGCAAGGATCTAAAGTAGAGTCCAAAATCATTTTACTTGAGGACATTTGTCTAAGTTGGTAATTTATCATGAAACTCGCCCTCGTGGATTTGACTGCTGTCATCCCTAGGGGCTGCCCTGGCCCTTTTGACTCAGTGACCCCACCCTGTGTGACCAGTAAAATGCCCCAGAGGGTTTTCTAGGTTGTAATCACTGCCAGCAGGTGTTTCTTCTGCAGAGCCTCTTGGTGGATTTTAACAGCCAACCTTTTTTAATGCATTCAAGCACTTAGCCAGTTGTGACACCAGGGCTCCGTTTTTGATAATCATTTTATTAGGGGCTCATACAACTCTTATTACAATCCATACATCAGTTGTGTAAAGCACATTTGTACATTCATTGCCCTCATCATTCTCAAAACATTTGCTCTCCACTTAAATCCCTGACACCAGCTCCTCATTTTTCCCCTTCTTACCCACTCCCCCCTCCTTCATGAGCCCTTGATAATTTATAAATTATTATTTTGTCATATCTTGCACTGTCCAGTGTCTCCCTTCCCCCACTTTTCTGTTGTCCGTCTCCCAGGGAGGAGGTTATATGTAGATCTTTGTAATCGGTTACCCCTTTCCAACCCACACTCTCTCCACCCTCCCGGTATCGCCACTCACACCACTAGTCCTGAAGGGATCATCTATCCTGGATTCCCTGTGTTTCCAGTTCCTATCTGTACCAGTATACATTCTCTGGTTTAGCCAGATATGTAAGGCAGAATTGGAATCATGATAGTGGGGGGTCGGGGTGGGGAAGCATTTAAGAACTAGAGGAAAGTTATATTTTTCATTGCCACCACATCACACCCTGACTAGCTTGTCCCCTCCCCGAGACCCCCCTGTAAGGGGATGTCCAGTGGCCTACCAATGGGCTTTGTGTATCCACTCCGCACTCCCCCCCCCTCATTCACAATGATATGATTTTTTTGTTCTGATGATGCCTGATACCTGATCCCTTTGACACCTCGTGATCGCACAGGCTGGTGTGCTTCTTCCATGTGGGCTTTGTTGCTTCTGAGCTAGACAGCCGCTTGCTTACCTTCAAGCCTTTAAGACCCAGATGCTATATCTTTTGATAGCTGGGCACCATCAGCTTTCTTCACCACATTTGCCTATATACCCATTTGTCTTCAGTGATCGTATCAGGGAGGTGAGCACAAAATGATATGATTTTTTGTTCTTTGATGCCTGATTACTGATCCCTTCAACACCTCGTGATCGCATAAGCTAGTGTGCTTCTTCCATGCAGGCTCTGCTTCTTCTGAGCTAGACGGCCGCTTGTTTACCTTCAAGCCTTTAAGACCCCAGATGCTATATCTTTTGATAGCCGGGCACTATCAGCTTTCTTCACCACATTGCTTATTCACCCGCTTTGTCTTAAGCGATTGTGTCAGGAAGGTGAGCATCATAGAATTCCAGTTTAATAGAACAAAGTATTCCTGCATTGAGGGAGGAGTACCTGAGTGGAGGTCCAATGTCCATCTGCACCAGGGCTCCTTTTGCCTTGGTGGGAAAGGTTTGCCGAACTTTCCCCATAAGCTTCCCTGGGTCCCATGAAGAGATTGCCCCCTTAAAGTGCCCTGCATGGGGCAGCCACTGGGAGAGAGTCCCTGAACTGTACTCCCAAGTGGAAGGGAGCGCGCTTCCCGCTCTGTGAGATCCCTCCCCATCCTGCCGCTTCACTGTAGCCGGTGAGCTCATGGAAGTGTTCTTGCTGAGAGAAGTTATTTCCAGTGTAGAAACAACAACGTCAAACCCTGCTTTCCAATGCTGAGGTTAGGGTTGGCTGCCACTAAAGAAGCCGAAGTCCTGTTCAAAAGCCCGTCATAGTCACCGTGCGAGAAGAACAGTGGCACCCGAACCACACCACAAACGAGGGCGTGGCCACCATAATTCAGTGGCCAGGTGGAGGAGAGCATTTTCCAGAATGTCACCAAGCATCCCATCTCCATCAATGTCACAGGTATGTTGGCTTTCACAGCAAGCTCTTAAGTAGATTCCGGCCCTTCCTCGGGGAACCAGAGGCTTTAGAAGGAGAGCTTGCGAACAGGCGTTTGGTGATTCACAGGCATCCCGGTTTTGAGAACCACTGAGAAGAAGACGAGCTGTGTACAGCAATCATGTTTTAACAAGGCCTTCTGGCGGCTGGTACCCAAATGTGAGGACCATTCATCTAGAGTTTCCCTGTGGTGCCTCACGAGCACCGCCCTTTTTACAGTGGCGGAGCTCTGGATGCCATACTGCTATGGGGAATAATTGCCTCAGCCTAGACCAGAGTTCCGGGCTACTGTGGTCTGGGCACACAGCTTTTGAGCTTGTTGCCAACCATCACTTAATTCTCCAGCCTGGACTAAGCATGTGATACTAGCAGAGGTGATGGGTACCCAACAATCAGACCATAGACACTACCATGTCTTTGACTTTTAGAAGCCACAGGACAAGAAACCTGGGAGCACTTGCTCTCAAACAGCACACTGGTTGCCATTTTGCATTTCACGTTCTTGGAATAATACTGTGCACGCAATACCTTCAGCGAAATGGATTGGCACAGTGACTGCCACCATGGGTTCAGACGACGGTGAGAGCACAGGAGGGTTTGTGTTTGGTTCTGTGGTGCACAGGGTGGCCATGAGTCCGAACCAACTCAACCCCGAGCACCCATGGTCCCTGGATGTCCGACTGCAGCTGAAGCCTTTACCCCTGTACTTAGACCCAGGGTTGGTGGGCTGTGTCTATGATGTCAAAGCTGGGGCTCAGGGTTCTGAGAATCTCGGGCACAGTGTCACATTGAGGATTTGGCTGAAATCTTACGAGAATGCACTGCTTTATTCCGGTGCCATTTTAATGAGCTGAGTGAGCTCTCAAGTTCATGCCATGAAGGGTAATTATGATAATTCAAGCATAGTTGAAAATGGCTCTAGGTTAACTATAATACTTTTATTATATGCTATTTTTTATAAAGCAGCTAAGGTATTTCTCAGGTTTGCACTCTTGAAATAGCAGTATTCTTTCCCAAAAGGTCTGTGTTGAAGGGGTAAGATGTAAATTTCTTAATGTGCCTAATATTAAATTCTGACCACTTTAAAATGCAGTAATAATAGCCTTTGTTTTTAAAAGCGGGCCACTCAAAGTCACAGAAACAGTTACATGCTGGAGTGGGCGGAGGACGGATGCAGAAGAAGGGCAGTCGCTTTGCCCTTCTTTCCTCCTGGCGAGAAACAGCCAGCTCGGGGCTTCCCTTGTCCATTGGAGGACTGTATTGGGGAGCACATTCTCGGTGGTGTGGCTCTTCCTGTGCAGCTCTCTGCAGCCATTCTCGCCAGAGCTCCTTCACACCACGTTGTTGTTGGCTGAAACCTAGGAGCTGTGGGGTTGGTGAGCTGGCACTGGCTCTCTGGTCTCATCGCCTTCTATTTCAATAGCCACACGGGGGAGAAAGTCGTTGTTGAGTTTGCATCCTCCAAAACCTAGGGACATTTGGGCGCAGTTTAAGGGTAATGTTCAAAGTCTGGAGTTAATCACAGTATAGCAGAAGCCAGCCTCTCCCTCATTAACTTTACTTCTCCCCTGCCTGCCTGGTAGCCAGATCCATAGAGTCCAACCAAACTCTCACTCTGTAACCTAGGAAAGTAGTCTCAGCCTCTCAGTGTTTTTAGGAAGAAATGGGAACAGAACTTAATTCTTTATTCACCCAAAATCCTGCCAGGCCAGAGGGAAGGAAAAAAATTGACCATTTTCTGTGTAGTATGTGAGTCACCTTGTCATTTCGCTGCTTTTCCGTGCTTTCCCCTCTCCCCTTTGTTTTCCTCTCTTTCGCTCCATTTGCTAAAGGATCTGGCAGAACCGCTCCCCCCACCCCCACAATGTTTTTATTGTTTCGTTGGTTGGGTTATGGTTTGATTTTCATTATTTTCCATTGGCAATAGTCATAGTATCATATATATACATATACATACGTGCACGCATATATATACATATACATACATATATAGTAGTTTGGGGCAAAGTTTACAAAGCAGCTCAGGTTCCCTCCCATTCAACGATGTCTACACAAGTCACTGGAGAGCGGGGAGGAGCTTCTTCACAGGCGGCCGCTTTCATAACCGTCATTCTGATGCTTCCATTCCCCTCCACCAAAGCCCCCCCCCCCCAGCCGTCTCACCTTTGCTTGATCCGTTGTCTTTGCAATGACGTCACGTGTATAAGAAAATGTGCACCCATCATAAATGTACCCATCAGTAAGGTTTGCACAGTGAGCACCCCCTTCTAGCACCCCAAAACACAATAAATACAGACACCCTGTGTCCCAGCCCCAACGGCAACTATTCCATTGTTTTTTAGTACAATGCATTTTCCCCATTTTTAACTTTATGTAAATAGAATCATACAGTACATATTCTTCTGGCTGGTTTCTTTGACTCCATGATTTAATTGTGACGTTCAGTCATATTGCCTATACCAAGTCAGCTTATGCTCCTTACTGTAAGATTTCATTTTGTGCTTATACTAAAATTGTGTAACACACTTTATTGTTGATGGCCATTTGGATTTGGGCTATTGTG